GAGCGGAAGAGTTCACAATGGTCTGAATCCAAGTGTCCAAGCAGCGGTTGATACTAGGACAAACTGTAGTTCAAGGCACAAACAGCAGATGCCAAAGGTGTGATTGTAGACAATTAATTCCATATTGGTCAAGGGTTTAGTTATAGATGAGTTGCTGCCTCATGCCTGCACGATGAACCCTCTGCATCAAACAAACAAACAAACTGAGTGCCACCATAACACATTTACATCTCATTTGCTGACACATCACCTAACATTACACATAACAAAGTACAAACTGAACACTTACGTTTGAGCATAGGAACCACAGGTTCCTCAAATCAGGGAAAAACATGACCACACTAGTAGGCAAGCTTCTCCATGTGCTTAACACATCCTTCCTTCCTTACTCTACTTCTTCTACCATTTTATGCTACTAGGAACCTTCCTTACTAGAGTACCCCCTAGTGGTAGAACGGAGTATTACACAGTACAGAGAGCTAATAAGACAAATGTAACTGCAAGCTGTTACAGCCTACCCATTAGTAAAGATTCAAACTGCACACTCACTCTAATATTTTGTTTTACAAACATAATACATACAAACATAATGCATTATAAAGCCCACATTAAAAACTTTGGCCCATATGGTTTAAATGTATATTTTGGTTTAAGTTGTTTTATATATATATATATATATATATATATATATATATATAAATGAGACGATCTAATTTTCTAATGTATATCATACAGTTTTCTTAAAATAGCTTACTGATCTGGACTAAAATGTATGTGCACTTAATGTGTGTTTTATCATACTCTGTCTTTAGTTCTTTTTAACTTGTATCTCATTAAGGTGTGTATCTGCTTTAGCTACTTAGGTATAGCGGAGGATTTTCTTTTTCCGGGTGGGTAGTCTATGGACTATGTGCACGTTAGCATATGCTAGTTCCGGCTGCGAAACCGATATGGGGTGTCTAGTTTCCGGTAGCCTGATGGACGACGTAGAGGATGTATGTTTCTCCAGATGTCTTGAACATTTGCCGAATATTATGTTCATCGACTGGCTAATGATTTTCCTCCAGCTCCCCAGAGCAAGAGAGAAGGGGTTTAAATATTACATTTCTCAGTATTTGCATCATTTTGAAGGGAACGTTAAGTCACAACAACATCCATGCTCAGACTGATCTCATGAAATTGCGTATGTATGACAGGTATCACGTATTTTTGGCATGCTATCAACACGCATAATCTCTTTTCAGCGTGTTTATGAATACCGTTGACTTAACGTTATTATTGTGTGTATATATATATATATATATATATATATATATATACACAGTGTGTATATATATATATATATAGCATATGACCTACCTCAACCCCAACCTACCCGTCACTCCTACCATCCTAGGAAAAAATAAATATCGCTCCCCAGATGTAGATCTACATTTTGTTTTGTTTCGCTCGGACATTTGACGCCGTGTACATACGCGGTACACGTGGAATCACTCGGACATTAATGTTGCCATGCTACGTGCTCAAGCTATGCGATTTGGTAACTGTTCTCTCTATACATTATAAAATGCGAAATCATGCGTTAGAAAGTGCATTTTCCAGAACAGTTTGTGTTGGCCATTGTTTTGTTTATGATGTTCAGAGGCTATGTTGTTGACAACCACTATCGTCATATAGATCAGTGTTGACAACCACTATACATGTCATACAGGGAGTAAAGGTATCCGACGTTGGTTCGTTCGTTATCAAGTTAGGCTGTTTAACACATATTAGGCTGTTCACACATATTTCTAAACAGGTCTCCCTTGCAAAATAGGTTCTAAACCCAGGGGCTTCTCCTGGTTAAAGGGTATAATATAATAAATAATTAGTAGCCTAAAAACTTCCTTCTAGTTGTCATGGATACGCAACGCTCCACTCTGTGAAGCGACTGCTTGGGTGCGGTGACAAAATGTGAAATATCGTTTACTTTTCACAATGCAGTAGTGCCTGGCTCCACCCAAATATGAGTGAACACTGTGTTGGTTGACTTGACAATGAACAAACGAACATAGTTTAAGACAAATATATTTAGATAGCTAAGCTTTAGATAGCCGGTCCACTGATGTAGGATGTAAACAACGGCAACCGGAACCGAAGTACCCAACATCCGCCCTCAAGGCGGAAGTTAGCATTTTTCTCGTGCACATAGTCAATTGGTCCACCTAAGTGTCAATCATTCTGGTGATATGTTTACGTAAGGCCGTCGTAGGCTACGTGCTCATCCCTATGTAGTTTTCACTTTCATGTGTATTATGTCGGAGTTACGGTTTCAGCCATTCCTTTGAAAATGTCTGAGGGTCGAAAAAGAAAAAATGTTTACTAAGTGTATGATAAGAAGAGAAAGGCCGCAGAATATAGAAACAAGACCAGAGAGATTTTGGGTTAATATCACACACTGGCGTGCGCTAAAAGCACAGGTTGGGCTTCTCACTGATGCCGCAGTCGCGAAGATTCTACCAGACAGGTAAAGTTTGTCACGCTATTTGGAGAAATCCATTTAAAATCACTAGTAAAAGTTAATGCAAGCTACAATGCTAGCCCTGGCACAAGTCATGCACCGCATAGACACGGTAAACATCTCAATTTGTCTAAAGTAGCCTTTTGTCCAAAATGGTAAATGGTATCACGCTGAAATATTCTAAAATCTTGTGTGTTTATTATTACACAAATGCAACAAGCTACTTCTCCATATGCAACTATGTATAAAAATAACGTATTAACAATGAGAGATATTAGGTTAAGGACCAACGTAATAGCACTGCTTATATGTTGCTATGTAACGTAATTGCGATTTGCAAAACAGTTTCCTCAGAACGTATTTCGTGTGATACAGGGTTGCACATATCATGTCTTGAGTCCTCGGTCACTCAATCGATCAGTATAATAAGTAAATAAAACACGGAAGGGCATTTGACATGTTGTCTTTTTTATTAATGTTTTTTAGTTAGTTTAGACTTTGCAACACAATTGTGCAAGGCGTATAGACGTTCCCTAGCTCTCGGGAGCAAGAGTGTTGTGTTTGTGCATGTGCATTTTTTTTAAAAAAAATTGGAGAGGGCGGGTCTTCTCTAAAATTCGGAAAGATCCTCCGCTATACCTTTAAGAAAATTAAAATCTCTGTCTCTAAACTTTTATAAGCACCCATCTTTTGAACCCCCAAACAATGTTCAACCATGACATTGTGCCATTATTTTATAACCACTGTTTCTACCACTATTCAACTTTAGCTTAGCTGTCATATTATAAACAGCATAGAGACCATAAAATAACAAGACCACCATTTACTTGCATCAAGCAACTGTTGGTATTTTTACAGTTAGTATTAATTGTTACATTTAATTTATTGCCACACTTTAATATGTGAATTATATTATCAGAAACTGAATATTTAGCGTTGTCAGGCTTTTATTTGTGCTTAATAGCTAAAACAACAGCGACGCGCACTCGGGTCTGTGGCTGCTATACATTTGTCCTGCCACAAGACGGCGCTGTTTCAACACTATTGATGCTTCACATCTTTTCCTGGAACAAGCAGGGGAAAGCCTCTGTGCTTCATAAGGCTTCATTTGCCCTTTCTTACTAGACTTAAAATCAGGAACAAAGAAAAAAACTGGATACAAATCTAATCAAAACAAAACAAACACAAAGCTAGAACTGACAAATAATCTAAATCTAGCACTGACTGTCAGAAGCGAGAATGCACACAATGAAGGAAAACAACACATCAATGAACCAGCAAACACATGAGGGACAATATAAAGGGACCAGAGCACATGAGGATCAGGTGAGCACGATTAGTAAAAACTACTGAGGCTGGTACCATGATGGCAACAAACTCGGAGTTGCAGGTTTACGTTCGAGTTGACAAAAGTCCAACCGGGCTTCGTTGGTACCATGATGCTGATCATCAACTTTCTCTGTCAACTCAGGATTTGATCCTCCTTAGTTTAGGAGTTTAGGTGTGACATCAGTAGCGAACAGCCAATCACATGCTGAGAAAGACTGAAACTCATTCAAAACTCATTGAAATGCATTTCTCGCAAGAGAAACAGTGCGATTCACTTCTCAAAAAAAAGTATTAAAATATTAATAATTTAAACAAATTTACACATCAAGAAGAAAATAGCTGTCAATGAAAGAGGACAACTAAAAAACTAAAAAAAGTCTGTATATCTGTGCACGTTAAAGTTGTGAAGTTATATTATAGCTTTTATCTATTGATTCTAAAGTGTATTTATATTACCAACTTTATATATTTATTCATTTAAAAAAAATGAAAATCTGTGTAATAGTAATTGATGAACAAAAAATGTACACGTGTGATCGATTAAGGGTATAATAATTACATGAATAATTTATACATCATACAAATGTATTATTCTAAATAAGCATTACTAAAAGCCAGACGATTTTGTCTTTAATAATCATTTGCTGCGGTGACCTTTAATTTGGAGCAGAAACAGGTGGAGTGACTTTTATCACGTCAGACGTGTCACTTTGCTCACAGCTGATTGGTCAAAGTTCCGTTTGCAACCTTTCACCTGGAGCCTCACCTGCCCCGGACCAGGTTAGCGGTAGAGTGTAAGTTACTATGGAGATGAACACTGTTAAAAGCAAAACCACTTCCATGGTGCCTAAAACCCAGGGTTGCCGCAAACTAAACTGAAACACAGCTGGCTAGCCACCTAAACCGGATTCATGATACAGGCCCCTGGACCAGGACTAAACAAGGGGGCGGGACATGAGGAGCACATGACAAACACAAACATAAACAGAGCCATGCACTCAAACACAAGACACACACAGAAACATGACACAAAGACGACACAGACAAGGCTGCCAGGGCAGAACACTGACACAAAGCTGTGATAAGTAAGACAGTAGTTCAATCTGAACAGTCTCTTGATTGTGTGTGTGATCATAGAATGAGTTTATGAGGACAATGATGTTGAACTCACCCTTCACAGAGAGAGAAACAGCAGATCTTGATGTTGATGAGTTTGGTCTTCCATCTCTCTGTCCTTTACACCAGTACTGACCCTGATCATACTCAGTCGCTCCTCTGATAGTGACAGTGTCTCTGTTTACAGTGTAACGATCAGACGTCTGTAACTTTACACTGTCTTTATACCACTCATATCTCCAGTTACTGTAATAAGAGTTTATCCCACACTTCAGATTGACTGTTTCTCCAGTGAATACAGGACCGGCTGGTGTCACAGTCACTGTAGATGTGGGTAAATCTGAGAAGAAACACAGAAACACAAACTGACTCAAACATCTCTTTCAGTGCATTGTAACAGAATTATATTTTATAAATGTTTCGAGGATGTTGAAGATCTCAATGATGAAGTGTTATTGCAGCAACAGTGACAAAGTGCATTAAAGCTCCTGCGTTCATCAGAGTCAGAATAAACCCAGAATAATCTCTGCTCAAACATTATATACTGTATTACATTCTTCCTCCAGCTCTACATGTAAATGAAGTTTAGTCTTAAAAGTAAATTGAGGATAACAATGAAACTGAAAGCCTTCCGTTCCCACATCATTGATATTGTTTGAGACGGGCCTCCATGTAACTTCATGTATCTTCTGAACATTATTCTTGACGACTCCCCGCAACTCCCAATCTACAGTAGAAGTGATAGAGTTTCACTCTATGAATATTCAAAGACCATATTCTAATCCATATCTTGAAGTGGAAGCTGAGTCAGGACAGACTATAATTTCTTACACTATTACATACTTTTGGCATGAATCTATGAACGGTGCAGACTGATAGATCTTTAAAGTCCCGGTAAAGTCAAAATTAAGTATGTGTTCTGAGTTTGCCACAGATTGGTGTTTTGCAGATTCTGTTTTGTAAGTGATGTCATCCAGGTAGTAGCCGACGCATTTCAGTGACAAAGGCATAGCTAGCTAGCAAACTGTAGGCTGTAGTAATAGTTAGTTACTAATAGTCACGATTGAGCGGTGAACTGATGCGAATGTGCTCTAGTTATATGTTCAGGGGAGGGCCAGCCTCAGGGGCTCCAGTAGGGGCATAAAGTGTGTCTTTATAGGACAGATACTGTGAATATGAAGACTCACCTGATACAGTCAGTGTAACTCCATCACTGATGTCTGATCTCGTTGCTTCACAGCTGTATTTATCACCATCAGACACAGATGTGAAATCTCTCTCAGTGTGTGGGATGACTAAACCATTTTTAATCCATCTGTATGTCCACTGAATGTCTTTTCCTCTCTGTATGTCACATGTGAGAGTGACTCTCTCTCCTCTGAACACAGGCTGATCTGGCGTCACCGTCACTACAGGTTTCACTGAGAAACATAGAAGTGAATATTGAAAAACTATTGCAGAATAATGATCTGTGTCAGTAGCTCAAAATGTCCTTAGCTGAAATGTCCATCAGCATGTCTAATGTCTAAGATCTAATCATTACAAATACACGGACGCCGCTGCGGGCGTTTCGGATCTGCCGCAAATGCTGTACAGTGAATGATCAGTCTCTATCTGCAGATAAGTAATAAACAACAATTTTTCATATTATGTCTTATTGTTTCTTAATTACCTTGATTAATTATGGTCTTCAAAGTATGTGTTTTCACATTTTTATTTATGACAATTATTTAAAAAAAATGACAACCAATTTGTATGATTTACATGTAAAACTGACACAGCAACCATGCTCCTGCACAAGTACACAAAGGGGCTCAAAGTGAGATATTCATCACAAGAATCACTAAATACACTGTTGGGAATCTGAGCTACTGACATGATGACTCCTGAGTGCATCTTCAACAACAGTTTAGCGGCCAGGACTCGGGGCTTACGAACACCAGGCTAAAGCGTCCGTCCAAAATGTCTTCATTTGGTCCTCTGTTAGTGCAACAAGATGGGAGACGACTACAACTATCAGCTTTGCATCCCTATCGTTCGCCTTAGCTAACTCATTCACCACGAGCGGAGTGAGATAGAAAATCAAACTTTCCCCGAACCCCGCCACTCCCTCTATTCGCTGATTGGTCCAACAAAAAAATGATTTCTGGAAACCTAAGAATATACAGCAGTCCCAAACGTAGTACTGTAGCTAGAAAAGTTCGTCACCAGCACTAAATGAGACGTGTGTTAAATCCAATGTAGCCACTGCCATCTATCGGCACCTGTATATAACGATGAACTTGAACACACGTTGACCACGCCCCCAGCCGCTATCAGAGGCCCGGCGTTTATTTGAATAGCGGTTTTATTTGAGGAAATACGGTATTCAGATTTCCACATCTAGGGTCCTTACAAACATAAAGAAATCTTCCCACATTACTCCGATTTTACACAGACTTCATTGGCTACCAGTGCGTTTTCTCATTAACTACAAGATTATTCTCATCACAATTAAAAGCACTCCATTTCAGTCCCACAATCCAGTCCAAAAATTCAATCCTTTCAGTCAGCAGAAGTGTACAAAGTCATTAATAAAGAAATATTAGAAGCGATAAGCTGTGAAAGAGAACTGAATCTGCTACTGACAGGATGATTTCTGTGTAAGCGCTTCGAGTGAAACACGGACGAGCAAAGTATCCTAAAATAGTCAATAGCTCTTTAGTCAAAAAGGATCCTGACCCCTGAACTAAAGTGTCAAATCAGACCATTTCTTTAGGAGACAATACCTTTATTTATGCACTTTGATCTTTAAAACTTCGCAGACCTTTTACATTAAAAAAAAAAACATCCCTAAATCCTTGCATGAAAGCTATTCGAAAAAGAAAAAATGGGGCTTTAAAGAACTAAGCAGAAAACAGTTTATACTGAGTATATTCAGTTATCAGTTCTCCATCTGAGGGAATGAAGACTAAAGCTGAATTTCTGTCGCAAGAACAGATGTGGCTGATACAGAAGAGCATAAGAAAAGTGTTAAACCACAAATATGGATTTTAAATGATCCTTAAAAACAGTTGAATATGAAGACTCACCTGATACAGTTACTTTAACACCACCACTGTCCCATGATCTCGTTGCTTCACAGCTGTATTTATCACCATCAAACACAGATTCGATATTGTAGTCTCTCTCAGTGCTGTGTGGGATGACTGAACCATCTTTAATCCAGCTGTATGTCCACTGAATGTCTTCTCTCTGTATGTCACATGTGAGAGTGACTGTCTGAGACGGCTCTGGATACTCTGTCTCTGCTGGTGTTAAAACTGAAAAAGAATTGCAGAATCAAGATCACTGTCATGAACTCAAAACTGAGAAATAGACTATTAAATTAAAGATTTAGTTTGCTTGTGTTGATTACATTGAAAATGTTTGCATTTATTGTTAAAATTATATTGATATATATGTTAGCCCACATGTTTGTTCCAATTGCTGCTTTATATACAGTATATACAGTGGGTACGGAAAGTATTCAGAGTATTCAAGTATTCAATAAAGTATTCAATATTCATTTATTTAAGTTTTATTAACTCGTTTTTTTTATCTTTCATTTTTTTGACACTAAAATAAAAACCGATGTCTTTACATAAATTTGTCAAATGTTAACATATTGTTTAGGGCTTTTGATATGGTTTTTTAATACAATGTTTGTAACCAAGGACAGCACTTATGTTACTATTATGTTTAGATTGTTGTGATAACCTTTCTGACACATTTACTGTGTTAAACTCATTAACAGTAAAGGAGTTAAAATGAACACGTGGTGCAAAACGGACCCAAGTAAGAAGTTAACACGGCTTGTGTCATTTTTAACACATCTTTTCTAAGAGTGTGTAAATAACATTAATAGGAAATTTCATATCATAAGATTGAAATGAATTTAACTTATAGAGTAAATATATATGGTTACAACAGGTTAGCAACTATGAAACGCACCCTTGGCCGGTAGATGAGGCTGTTTACAGTCAGCAAGATCAACCACACTAAATGAATAAAAGCTTAGCATTGGTGCACACGATCTTAATGACAGAGAGTCAATAATTTGGATCTTTGGAAATCATTGTCTGACTGAACTATACAACGGCAAGATTGTGTTTGCACTAAACTATACAACTGCAAGACAGCAGTTTCAGCAGCACGAGGAACTACACAAGAATGATGCCGTGTGGAAATGTGTGACTGCAAAATTAGCAATAAACATCAGCAAAGAGACAAAATGTGGGACCTGATCTGATCCATGTAGACAATAAACATAAAAAACACAATCCACATTGGTTAAATACTGTAAATACAATGTAATCCGGGGACACACTTAAATGTAAGGCCAATTATGAATGTAATTTGATACTCATGACTGATCATGCCCAAACGGGCTGCGTCCAAGACTGAAGTTACTTTCAGTCAGTGTTTAAAATCTTCTGCAGTCTGTTAGTGTGTTCAGTTCAGTCTTAGATTATTTCAGCTAGTCATTAAGTGTGTCCCCAGAGTTATTGTAATAATGCAAATATAGTACCTTCAGCATGAGCATTCGTCCCATTTTCAGTGCGTCCAGAGTGAACGAGGGACATCAGCACTAAAAGCAGAAGAAACACAGATGAAGCTTTTCCATTCATTCAACACAATGTAAATCACACACTGAAACATGTCTAGAGTTTATTCTACATGAACTGAAAGTGTTTTTCTGTTCTGATATTCATTCAGATGAGAACTGATGGATTATTCTCCAGCATTTAAAGGGTTAGTTCCCTCAAATCATCTTCATCTTCGGAAGATATATTAAGATATTTTTGCTGAAATTTGAGAGCTTCTGACCCCACATAGCCAGAAACGTCATTTAAACTTTCAAGGCCCAGAAAGGTACTAAAGACTTCGATAAAATAGTCCATGTGGCCGATGCTGGTCACATGATCACCTCGACACATGCGTGTGATGCTGACGCAGGAGTTAGCCAATAATGAGCCGGCGTTCTGACGTCGAACCCGGAAGCGCTGCACTGTTTACACTAGACCAACAGCTGAGGAGACTTACGTGGAAGAGAAGAAATTGTTGAATAAAGTTCAAAACTGTTAATGGGGTAACAGCTTAAGACCCAGGACCAGATATGATGAAAGAAGACCTGGGGCCTGTACCATGATGGTAGTTGAACAAACTCAGGGTTGCAGGACTAGTTTCGAGTTGACAAAACCAAACCAATCCAACCAGGCTTTGTTGGTACCATAATGCTGATCATCCACTTTCTCTGTCAACTCTGGCTTTGATCCTCCATTAAGGAGTTTAGGTGTGACATCAGTAGTGAACAGCCAA